AATGATGTTGGCTGTGGGTTTGTTGTATATAGTTTTAATTATGTTGAGGTATGTTCTCTCTTATCCAATTAATTTCCTCTAGGACTTTGGACATAAATCTTGCTGAATTTTGTCAAAAGCCTTTTCTTCATCTATTGAGATGAAGATGTGTTTTTTGTCTTTGAGTCCATTTATTTGATTAATGACGTTTATTGACTTGCGTATATTGAACCATACTTGCATCTCTGAAATAAAGCCTACTTGATCATGGTGAATGATTGTTTTGATGTACATCTATATGCAGTTTACAAGTATTGTGTTGAGAATTTTTGCATCTATGTTCATTAAGGATATGGATCTATAGTTTTCATTTGTGGTTGTGTCTTTACCTGGTTTGGGTATTAGAGTTATGCTGGCTTCATGGAAGGAATTTGGGAGTTCTCCCTCTATTTCTATCATTTTGAATAATTTAAGTAGTATTGGTTGGAGGGCTTCTTTCAATTTCTGGTAGAATTGTGCTGTAAATCCATCTGGGCCTGGGTATTTTTTATTTGGGAGGCTTTGTATTACTGTTTCAATTTCCTTATATGTTATGGATATGTTTAAACTGTTTATTTCCTTTTGGTTGAATATTGGTGTTTCCCATGAATTTAGATAGCCATCCATTTCTTTTAGATTTTCAAATTTAGTAGAGTACAGGTTTTTAAAGTATTCCCTTATAATGGTCTGAATCTTTTGGATGTCTTTTGTGATGTTTCCCCTTTCATCTCTGATTTTGTTGATTTGGATTTGCTCCTTCTTTCTTTTGGTTAACTGGGCCAGAGGTCTGTGTATCTTGTTTAGTTTTTCAAAGAACCAGCTTTTAGAATTGTTAATTCTTTTTATTGTTTTCTTTGTTTCTATTTCATTAATTTCTACTCTGATTTTTGTTATTTCTTGTCTTCTGCTCATTTGTTCTTGCCTTTCCAGTAACTTGAGTTGCAGTGTTAGGTTATTTATTTGGGCTCTTTCTAATTTTTTAATGTAGGCCCTTAGAGCTATAAACTTCCCTCTTAGAACTGCTTTTAAGGTGTCCCAGAGGTTGTGTTATGTTGTATTGTCCTTTTCGTTGCATATTCTTTTATAGGAGTACTTTTATTTCTTTCTTAATTTCTCTTTTGACCCATTCATCATTTAAGAGTGTGTTGTTTAATCTCCATGTGTTCATGTGGTGATTAGTGTTTCTTCCAGTGTTGATTGTAAGCTTTATTGCTCTGTGGTCTGATAGAATGCATGGAATTATTTCAATTTTTTGTATTTGTTGAGGTTTGTTTTGTGGCCTAGTATATGGTCAATTTTTGAAAAAGTTCCATGGGGTGCTGAGTAAAAAGTTTATTCTTTGGTGCTTGGGTGGAATAGTCAAAAGATGTCTATTAGATCCATTTGATGTATGGTATAATTTAATTCAGATATCTCTCTGTTTATACTTTATCCAGTTGATCTGTCTGATGGAGATAGTTGGGTATTGAGTTGGGGTTAATCTGTGTCTTAAAGTCCTATACTGTTGTTTTTATGAATTTGGGTCCACCAGAGTTTAATGCATATATGTTAAAGATTATACTATCTTCTTGGTTAAGGGTTCCTTTGATCAGAATGAAGTGACCCTCCTTATCTCTTCTCATTAGATTTACTTTGAAGTCTATTTTGTCAGATATTAGAATTGCACCCCCTGCTTTTTTCTTAGTGCCATTTGCTTGGAATATTCTTTTCCATCCTTTTACCTTAAGGTAATGCCTGTCCTTGAAGATGAGATGGGTTTCTTGCAGACAGCAAAAAGATGGATTTTGTTTCTTAATCCATTCACTTAGCCTGTGTTTTTTGACTGGGGAGTTCAATCCATTGATATGTAAGGTTATTATTGAAAGATATGTACTGGTTCCCATCATTTTGATTGCTGTTTGTGTTCTTTGTCTAATTTTGTGTTTCCTCAATTATACCTTTATTTTCTTTTGTTGCCCCTGGGGTGTAGTTGTTCCTTTCTCCTCTCTTTGTATTGCTTCAAGTATTCTTTAAAGGGCTAGTTTTGTGGACTTGTATTCTTCCAGGCTATTCGTGTCATGGAAGATTTTTATTTTCCCCTCAACTATAATAGACATTTTTTGCTGGGTAAAATATTTTTGGCTGACAT